GAGGCAGGCTGCGAAAGTCTGTGATTACAACCTGCTCATCGCCTTATGCTATCCAAGGGAGTGCGAGGCGTACCAGCGCAATGATGGCTTACGAAGATTCACGGAGCGCAGACAAAGATACCAACGGAGTCGCTACCCGTTCTGAACGCAGGAGGCAGACCTGCGATGCCATTACACCACGTCAGAAAAGGTTCCATGACAACGACACTGCTTACAGCTGGAAATTGGAATACATCCGCACTCAGAAGGAAAGAGCAAGAGTTAGTTCATGAGGCCATAAGGCACGAACTCGACATAGCTGAACTCTTATTAAGAGAGGCGCCAAGACCCTGGAATCCTGAACTCTGCAGATGGAAGCTATCCTGATTAGGTGTCAGTAACACGGCGCGCGCTCAGGCCGGTGTAGGTATTCTGCTAGAACCCAACCTCGCAGATGGAATCATTGATTGGTAGCCTCTCAGCGGAACGGTGGCAGTCCTCCGTCTGAAACTACAAAAAACAAAAACGTTGAACTTGTTAAAGGTCTGTGCACCCAGTTTCCAGGGAGAAAATGATTCCTTCTTTGAGGAAGTAGAGTGTGTTTGGTACCAACTGCAGAATACGGAACCCCTCTTTTGGAATACTCTTGGGCGATTTTACTGCGCATATTGGAGTAGACGCTGAAAATGGAAAGGCGTGGTTCGAAAGAATGGCCCTAGCGACCTAAAAACTAACGACATTAAGTTGCTGCGGCTTTGTGCTACCAACGAACTCTCCATTATTAACACCTTCTTCGAGCATGGAAGCGTGCATCAATATTGTATACCTGGTGCAGGGAAGCTTGTGCACAAAGTCATTGATATATTTCATACTCTCTTCTGACTTACTACGCTCTGTCACGGATATTCGCGTTAAGAGAAGCGCGGAGCTGTCAGTCAATCACCAACTTGTTGGCACGCTGCGCTGCAAGAAATGGAGTACCAGGCGAAGATCTGGTGGCAGAAGCAACCAGAAAATCAAATGGGTAACATTATCTTCGGTGGGTACGAGAGCGAAATTTATCGCACAACGGTATGAACAGATCCCTGTGATGACCACCGATGTGAAAACCGAGTGGCAGCTCTGTGAGAGCGGCATCCTCGAAGCTGCCGCCGAGTGCTGCGGATTCAAGCGGGTTATCCTGCCGCCTGAGGTCAGAAACGATCTTCTTGGCGCACACGAGAGCTACAGCTGGCAGAAAAGAAGGTTGCATTCGAGAAATGGTTAGGAAGCAAAGAGCCTTCTACTCGCGTTCGATATGTCGCAGCACGTGAGGCGGCAACGAAAGCTAAAGTTAATTGCTAAGAGAAGTTCGATGAGTTATTGGAGTCGAATTTCCACACGGCAAACAAGGTGTTCTGGCAAACCACTCGCCGGCTCCTAGGTGATAAGAAGGGCAGTCTAAGAGTCTTGAGGGAGGTCTGGTCACCCTGCTACCGAGGATGAAGATATTCTTCGGCGATGGAGACAGTACTTTGAGGAACTACTTAACCCTGAGAAAC